GCAAACTGCGTTCTTGCAAAATGTCCGAAACTTCAAAGACTAATTATGATGGATTTTTCGACATATTTCAATATCTTTTACTGAAATATACTAAAAATAAATACTCTGAACTTGCCTAAGGTAAAATCTTCTATCTTAGGTGAATTAGTTTTGAGTTTCGTCGCTAATAAGAAACGCGTGACAGTCTTGCGTGACAGACTTTGGGCCCTTATAACTTGAGCACAAAACAACGAAATGACTTCAAACTTTTCCATGTTAGTCATCTCACTAGTTTATAAAACATATTTTGAAATTATTACTATAAGATGTTTATTTCTGGTTTTGGTTTTTCGATGACGTCACATGAAAAGAAGAATAGTTATGTAGCTCTAAGCAAACACACACGTACTTAGGAAGTTCATCTCAATAACTGTTTAAATATTGACTGTTTTCTAAGGTCCACCCGAAAAGCTTTTTTAAAAATATTAGGATTATGTCTATCCAAAAAAAAGATTGCTTTAGCTGTACGACGTTCATAGGAAGAAACAGATTGTAAAGGAAATTTTATGAATTTAGCGGTATATTATTGTCAGTCACGTGGAGCTTCGGAGCTTCGTTTCGAGAGGCATGTGTCACAACCAGAACCAYCTAAACCTAAAGTCTCAAAGCTTACCACGTTTAAGAAAATCATTGTAAAATTCAAGAAGATATAGATCGCTCAGTCAAAGATGTCAGTATGTGCAAAAAATACATGTKATCTGCTTCGGCAAGGGCGCTCTGTGAAGGGCTGAATCTATTGCTCTGTGTTCAAGGTCGAAACTAAAAATGCCAAATCCATCTGTTGTAATATAGTATATGAATGACAAAGTTTACCTATCTGAATTRTATCCTGAAAATGCCGTTTTAGCCACCAAAAAGGCGCTTGATTTTCCTAGATTGCTACGAGCGAAGTCTTCGTCTATATTCAGCTAACGCTACCTATAGCCAGGAGCGTGACTCGGTGATACTTGATATCCGTTCAGGTCGAAGGTCGGCGAATGGAATGTCTTAACTCATGCGACGTTATTTATTCATTTATTTTATTTTTATTTATTTTTTATTTTTTGCGTGTGTTTATTTGTTTGTTGTTGTTTTAATTATTAAGCATTCGTGAAGCGTTTATGCGACAATTCCAGCAAGGTCGTAGCTTCCTGATTACTGAACCATGCAAACATTATTGTGAAGTCAAGAATGAAAGCTAACACATGTTGAAGCCGATGCTGACGTAAAATTGAAACGTGCTCGCGGACAGAATTTCATGATCACTTTGAAATTTTCCCGTCAARAGCAACAATGGATGACATCAAAGTCAAAGGGATTTTATTTCTGACGTACTAAAGTACGTCTTCAAAACTGAGGACCTTGCGGACTTTGATTTTAGACCTTTTTTGTGGTTGCAAAACTATTTCCATATTACATACAACTAGACCCTGACATCAGGGTGTACTCGTGCCCTAAATGTGTTGAAAAGTGCTGTCTCATTTAAAACTTTTCTTGTGTTTGACCAACCATGTAATATACTGTCTTTCTCAATTTTCAAAAATAGTTCGACCAAGTTGACGCTC